GGAATTCATTTGTTTAGTCAATTACCAAAATTTGGATGATTTTGAATATTCACTTGAAAAGTTATCAAAGAAAAACATTTTTCATTTTGTAACTTCGAGGGCCCGTAACTTGGTTACGAAGACTTTTAGGAAAAAAAGTTATATGAAGTACTGGTGATATTTTGACCCCATCTATACATTCCCGAGAGGAAAAGAGGAAGTCCAGGGACACCCTGTATAAAATGGTTAAATAAACTACTTACTTATTTACTCGTGGGAACATACATGAATGAAACAATCACAAAAACAGAAACAACAAAAACGAAAACCAATCACGAGGCTGGACAGAAGTGCCCACCTCAATCTTAGGGCGTTGGCAGAACAGAAATGTTCACCCCAATCTACCGCTAGGAATGAGGCTGGGCATAGCATATCACATCGTGATGTAATACAAAGGCCAAGGCGTGAGGGCATTTGCGGCGCCGAGGCCAAAAGGAGAAAGATAGCGGAGGAGGCAGGAGTGGCAGCAACTATATGTGCACCCTCCTCCTCCCCCGCTCCACCTCTAACAGGAAGGGCACTTCCTGCGGCGGGCGCCAAGAGATCCGCCTTGAGTAAAGGCAAGGAAAGCTCCCTCACTTGTGCACATCCACGGAGGGAACCCCGTGGAGTCACATGTGGCCTAAGTGCTGTGGATCTACACTCACCCTCCCTACTCTACAGATACAGATACTTAAGATAATGCAACATAAAGAGTGAAAGAGTGTGCTGGGATGACTATTACCATGACAAATTTGTTATTATCTTATAGGATGAAGATCCGATAAAAAATCATTGCTTTTCGAATGTTTTGGTTCTGAACTATTCTAAAACAGATTTAATAGTGCTCGCAGCTAGTGACTTTAATGAAAATCTTCTGATTGAATTTAGTAACGAATTTATTAGTTAAACAGCTTCTCTTTCCTGGTCTAAGCAGGAAACTCTCAAAATATTTCTTGTGATGCACTGTTTGGAACTTTTGGTGTAGTAATTGATATTACTGGAGTTTTTCCCAACACCAAACTGTTATTTTACCACCACGACATGTGTTTCTTTCACCTTCAAGAAGAAGATCAAACTGATCTTTCCCATGAAGATCATTTTGGTCAGTATGATCTTCCTCTTGAAGGTCAGTTTGATCTTCGTCTTGAAGATGATCATTTGGTGATCGAAACACGTGTCGAGGTGTTAATATAACGGTTTGCTGTTGGAAAAAAGGTCCAATAATATTCATTTCTTGAAATATTGTTTGATTTGGGGAGGTAGTATCTAATTTTAGTACCGACCTGTATTAATGTATTTACTCATGTATCGATGCATACCTAAGTTACACTGCCTCTTTTGGAGAATCTATTCAAAATCAAAAGATATTTTCATCCAACAAAATCAGATAGTCAGAACCTCAGCACGTTATTTAACAAGTTGACTATTTTGAATTGTTTATCGATCTATATTTTGAATTTTTATTGAAATTTGTTAAAATGAATTCATCACAGTATATGGACAATAGGGGGCAACCCAAAATCTAATGGGATTGAACAACATAACTCTGAAGAAGCTATTTCATAGTGAAACACGTGTTACAGTTTTGTGATTCATTAAGTGAAAATCTCACAATAAAGTTTGTTTGAAAGTGGTGGACAATGTTTCATGGTGAATTGTCTAATATGATTTTGCTACTATTCGAAATTTACAAAAGAACAAATAAAATTAGGATGAATAGCTAAAATATCAATTATATTGAGCAATAAATTATGAAATAATCAAGATACAAAATATAGATAACCGCAGAGTAAAAAGAACCGAAAAAAGTATGAAAATGGGCAGAAAATAAAAAAGTTAATTCACGACGTTTCGATTGTTAGTATCCACAATCGTCTTCGGGTGATAACTGGACTTATTCCTCCTAGATATGACTATTTATAGGTCTTTCGAATGCTTTCACCTATCCCCTCTTCCCTCACCTCGCTTCACCGGTTCAGTGGGAGTTGACCATTTGGCGGGAGTTGACCATTTTCCGCTTGATTACCACTTTTCCTATGTTGCGTATCTCTACGCTAGTTCGGCTGAATGCTTCGTTGGAAAACATTCATGCAGCTTCTTCGAACTTTCTCTTAAATCAGTGTTCTTCCCTGTGGATGACCCCAGCTTGGGATTAATTGATGTCATGTTAATGAGTCCAAACATTCCCGATTCGCTGGTTTCTTCATGCTGTGTGTTTATTTGTACTCGGCAATGCGGAATTCCAATGGCCTCTTAGTTTCACCGATATAGGATTTGCCGCACTCATCTGGTAAATGCAATTCTTGGAATCGCAGTCCGCGTTTGGTGGCCTAGTTTTCGTGTGAAGCTGCTATGGATGGTGCATCCGGTTCTGAAGCATGTTCTGATGTTGTACTGGGACCCATTTCTTTTCATCCTTTCCGACAATTTTCTGACGTAGATAAGTATAAGTACTGGTTGTGTCGGCTTCTACTCCTTGCGAGGCTATTGCTGTCTTCAAGCCAAAGTCTGTCCCACCATCATTGAAGTAACCATTCCGTTGGAGATGTTTTCCGATCATGCCTAGTTCCGTTTCGAGACCTTCCTTCGTGTTACAGATCCCGAAAGCAAGAATCACTAGAGTCTTAATGATTCCTCTTTTGGTATATTGTGGAGTTTGGATTCGTGATTCAGATACTGTCCTGTGTGAGTGGGTTTTCGGTATATATAGACGTTCCCCACTCAGTGTTGGTCCTCTTCACCAATACATCTGATAATGGCAATTCGTTGTGGACTTCCTCCTCCATTGTGGAGGTGGTGGAATCCAATTAGGCTATTGATGTGCCTTAGAAAGGTGTCTAGTTCTATATTCCCATGGTTCCATACTATGAAGGTGTCGTTAACGTATCTCAGCCAGAATCGGGGCTTCTTCTGTGGCCGGAGTTTCATATTGAATCATATTAATATTAGAATCATATCATACAACGGGAGCCCGAACTGATAAAACTCACATTAAAGTATTATTTGAATCTGTTGGAAAGGAATAATAATTTTCAGATACCTTACAGAATGTCTTTGGTCCAACTGTTTTGCCACTCGAGCTACCAAATCCAATCAACTTAATAGTGAATTTAAAAACAATCGGAAATGAAGTAAAGAAGTCTTTTTTATTTTCTGACTGAGTACTTATCATAATATTTACTAACACGCGTATATCTCTATTAGGATCGCACATTAGACTTTTGCCTTTACTCAACTCCCGCACATCTGACAGATTATTGGGACTAGGTATTCATAGAAATGCAGCTGTTTGTGTTTAAAATTCGGTCTCCAACTTAAACATACTTTTCATCTTCATTTTCGTTTATTTATAATCAGATATCAACTTTGAACAATTTTTATTCCATGAACAGACGAGTAATGAGGATAGCATTGAAGTTGAATATATAAACTATCAATCTGTCTATTCTGTCTCTGTTTTTTCGTTAATCAGCTGTCGCCCCCATACGAACAACAACTCTCAGAAGTTGAGAAACTTGTGCGAGCTAAGGACTAACGAGGTCTTACCTTTTAACGTGTGATTCCTAACACGGTTGCAGAATCATCCCAGCTTCAACCAGATAAATTATCTCGAGAAAAATATCTGGTCGAGGCAGGAATCGAACCCACGGTCTTCCGATCGTGAGTCGGGCGCACTACCACCGCGGCCAATTCCACACAAATCAATGGTTTCTAAGAGTTTCCATTTTTAATTCAAGTGTTTATTTTTGTGATGCACAAAATATTATGTAATGCTCAAATGGATGGTTTCAATATCTCTAACGTAAGCATAACTGATAGAAGTAAAGAAATACCTTTCAAACAGTTCTTTGGGCATTTTGGTGACAATCTGTCAGCAGTTTTTCCCACGTGAACCGCTCCTGTTTGAGGATCGAAGAAAACAATGGAAGGGATAAGTCGATCACCATTTTGATCAGGTATCATTTCAGCTCTTCCCTTTCTGTAAGCCGCAATGCAGGAAAATGTAGTCCCCAAATCAATTCCAATCGGAATATCACTCATCTGAAAAAATCAATATATAAACGGTGAGTTCCAGTTCGGTTCGGTACATTATACATTATAATAAGGTCACTGTTTTTTTCACTTTCATTAATAAAAAATCAGAGTTCATCCAGTTCGTATCTAAAATGAAAGATCTGTGGATGATCTACACATTTTACAAATTCTGGTGTCTGGGAACAGTACTTGTTTTGGATGTATTGAGGTTGAGTGGAAGAACAACTCAGTAGCACTTGTGCTAACTAAGTTGAACTTCGCCTTTTGTTATGTCAGCAACTAGCTCTCTAATTTATTTAAATATTTGTATGTAACTACAGCTGGGTAACAATAAAAACGATTATTATTTATTATTATTCCACACCTGAGGTCCCAGTTCTATCTTCCATTTTGTTTATTTTGACAATAAGTTTCCTACATTTGAAGATGGATAAGTAGAACACCAGAACGCTATTATCCATAATTGTCAAGATCTTTGGTTTGTTTTGTGCAAGTTTCACTAGATTCGTCTTTCGTTCAGATTTTGATACCATTAGCTCAAGATTGTTACCTACTGTAAATTTGTGGAAAATCAACTCGATTCTTTCTGGGTGTTGGTTTTTGTTTACCTGAGTCAACCCGATTCTTTCTGAGTGTTAGTTTATTTTATTCTGATATCTATTAAGTAGCTCGGAAAGCGTAGATCCGTGGTGGGTCTGTTCGGTTTCCCTTCTCAATTGTAAATTGACGATATTCCCCGGAAATTATTTCTGGTCAATAAGAATATTCATCACTGATTACTTATGGTCAATCGAACGTTGAAAATTACTATATTCTGTTCTCCTTTTACTGACGGCCAGAATGACGAGAAACACTTCATTTTGCCCATGTAGCTACTGCATGTTACTGCTGCCAATTCAGTAACATCAATACTCTTTGGTGTTGGACTCTTTGGTTTGGTGTTGTAACGTAAAGGCAGGTTTCCATGAACACCATGTTACGTTATGGCTAGTGTACTCGAGTACTGTTGCACCTTGGCATTGTCCTTGATAAAAAACTCACCTGCAACGCTCACTTGGAAAAAATTTCACACAAAGCCAGACTGTCTCTATGGACATGTCGAAGGATTTTTGGTAAAACTTGGGATTTAGGACCCAAACAAATCCATTGGATTTATGTAATGTTTACCGGACCAATCACTTATGGTGTAATTACTTGGTGACCGAAGGCTTTACAGAAAACGGCAGAGGAGAAGCTCTCTGGCTTACAGAGACAGGCTTGTCTGGCCATCAGTGGTGCCATCAGTACCACACCATTAGCGGTCATGGTGATCCCTCTAGATCTACCTCCTCTTCATATTTTTCTGGAGAGAAAGGCTAGATAGACTGCATATGAGGCTGCTGACTCCCTTGCAAAGGAAGGTGCTGCAAGCAGCTTCATCGGACCAAAACCTGTCATTGGCATCGCTTTAGGCTTTGCTAAACAAAGATCTCTTGCCTTTTGCATGTGTATCGTTACCTCGTTCGGTTACATTACTTAACAATTATATGGCCAAAATTCAAAATGTTTCTGGAAGCAAACCGTGTTATCTGGCAACAAGTCGAACGGTGTTACGTTACAGACAATTGACTCATATGGATACTTCTTGTAAAGGGTTTTTCAATAAGGGCGGGTAGATGTTGAAATGGAATAAAACAAGCTGTGGTTGAGGTATTAACAAAATAATTTTTTTATTTCAAAGGCGCATGTATGCCATTAAGTGTGGAATATGACATCATTCAAATGCCCGCCTCGACTTCTTACGGTGGCACAGATCCGAGTGGTCCAATTTTCAATGACTCTTCCGCATAGATCCGGCTGAATTTGAGCGATGGCATGTGTTATGTTCACCTTTAGGGCATCGGTCGATTGTGGTTTATTTGCATAGACCTGCGACTTCAAGAAACCCCACAGGAAAAAGTCTAGCGGAGTCAAATCGCATGACCTTGGTGGCCAATTCACATCACCTCTACGAGAGATAACCTTACCCTCAAATCGTTCATGCAAAATGTCAATCGTGGCGTTTGCCGTCCTGCTGGAACCACATGTCGTCTAGGTCCATATGGTTCAATTTGGGCCACAAGAAATTAGTTATCATCGTTCTGTATCGCTCGCTGTTGACGGTGACCGCCTCACTAACGTCGTTTTAAAAAAGTACGAACCAATTACGCCGCAGGCCCAAAATCCACACCAAACGGTAAATTTTTGAAGATGCATTATCACCTGGTGAACCTTGCGTGAGTTGGTGTCGGCCCATATACGGCAATTTTGCTTGTTAATACAGCCATTCATCCAAAAATGCGCCTCGTCACTAAAGATGATTTTTCGGCCAAAATTGGGGTTCTCTTCCGAACGATTCGAAGCCCAGTCAGCGAACAAACGGCGTTGTCAATGGTCATGAACTTTGAGCTCCTGGGTCAGTTGGATCTTGTACGGGTGTACAAGTCCCGACGCAAATTTCGCTGAAGTCTGCGAAAGGCCGAGTTCTTGTGTATGGCGAGGAATAGACTGCCTCGGGTGTACACTTTCACGAACCGCGGCGATGTTCTCGGCCGATCTTGCGTTCTTTGAACGTACGGGTGTTGGCTCATTGTTTACTGAACCGGTCGTCTCAAATTTGGCCACCAAACGTTGAAGAGTCGACTGTGAAAAGCCACCACGTCGTAAAATGGGCGCAATGCGCGCAACGTTTGCGTTAACGAACACTCATTTTGATAATAGAGTTTTATCATTTTAACGTGCTGTTCAATCGTGTAACTTGCCATGATGATTTGGCACAAACAACTGAATAATTAACAAAAGATTTGACAGATGTCACCAAAACAAAATGGCCGCCACGGGGCGTCAAAATCTACCCGCGACAATTGAAAACCCCTTCATAAGCTCTAGCAGTCCTTTGATGCGACGGCTGAAAACCAGCAAATGGTAGTTTGGATTGTAACGGTTATGAATGTTAAAAGTCGTTACGAAGAACATGTAACAGTACTCTGTCTCCATTAGCCATAACGTAATGTGTTCATGAAAACATGCCTTTACGTTACACACGGCGACTAGTTGAAACAAGTATATAGGTTTCACGTATTTTTACCTGAATGCGGTTGTTTGTGAATTTGTTCTTTGCTGATAAGGGGATGAGGAGCAAATACCTCCAAAAGCGGTTTGTGAGTAATTGTTTGATGGAGTTCAGCAAATTCATCCTATTGGCTGATGATAAACATCTGCATGGATGAACTTGATTCAAATAATTATCGGATATGATTCATCTTGTTAGTAATCAAAATATCAATATCAGAACAAAGCAGCAACGCTGTTACAATTGGTTGCAATGATGTCACTGACTTCTTTAGATATAAGTGTAGGTTCTGTAGTGGATGTCGAAAAAGAATGGCAAACTTAGAATCAACTATTTGAGGTACATTGGACCATTACAATACTGACTAATCATATCAGAATGAATATGTCATTTGCAATGTAATGAAACCCTTGAAAATTCAAGAGAAAAACTGGAGGTATTGCATAGTCAAGAAAGATGTAGCAATGGAAAAAGCACAACCAGTCACCAAACTATTATATTACCTTCGATTTTCGAAGTATGCATTTTGTGTTGATTCTATAGTTGATACGTGTGATGCACTGTTTGAAACCTTTGGTGTAGTAATGAATATTATTGGAGTTTTTCCCCAACACCAAACCGTTATTTTGATACCTCGACGTGTGTTTCGATTACCAAGTGCTCATCTTCAAGAGGAAGATCAAACTGATCACTTGGTTATCGAAACACGTGTCGAGGTCTCAAAATAACGGTTTGGTGTTGGGAAAAAATTCCAATAATATCCAAAGTTGATGTCTTTCTAAAAGGCATCGCCAGCATCCATTCCACTTGGGGACAGTAGCAAGTTCAAACGTTGCATTGTTAGACAAAAAAATAACTGTCCAACATAGGACCTTGGATGCAACCCTCTTAGGATCTAGTGTCAGCTATAGTACACAGAATGAGACATGGCCAATGGGGGATCGGCATGCTGCTCAAACAAGAGTCTATGTTAGAGATAGAGAAAATATTCGTTGAACAAAAATGCAAACAAGCAATAAAATTTAATTAAGGTTCTGAAACTTAGGAATTTTATGTGTAATTAGTGACAGGCCATGGTTCATTCTGTATACTGTAGTTCAGGGGTCGGCAAATCGTTTCAGGTGCGGTCTGGATACTGTGAGAAAATTTTAATGAGGTCCAGAAAAAAACAACTGATAACAATGAGGTGCTATCTATGTATTATTTTGGTTTTAAATCAAATTCCGAATAATAAGACACAAGACCTAAAATTAATGTGAGAAACTACATCGACGGTTTTAAGCCAGTTTGGTTCTCGAGAGGAACAACAAATTCGAAGTGAGTAAGATCGGTCAAAAATTTCTCAATAACTTCACAATGTCTTCTTCAGAGTTCTTTTTATATTCAAGAATTGTCGGAAAATTAATGAATTTTTGTTTGCAATATCGTTTTCAAAGATATCCAGCTAATGACGAAGAGCAGACACGCTTTGTATCACATCACATATCAATTCAACATTTACTTGTCTTTTTGGAAAGCCACAACCAGCATATTGCGCTATTTGTTATGAACTCAAAGTGCTTCCTGGCTTTCTGCATATCTAAGTTTCGCAAAAAGGATGATACTTGTTCTTTAATTAGCCAGGCTAAATGGGATCAGTTGTAGATACTTGTTAAACAGGTTAGCTAGGAAACTCAAAATAAAATAAGTATTAAGGTGAATTCTATGTGACTTAAAAATATTTTTTCATTTAATCAAGGCTTTGTATGCCTTATCTACGTTATAATTTATACATGGTATACTTGGCCGTCCGAGGTTCGACCTTACGCGGTCCGCCTGTCGCTGACCTATGCTGTAGTTGCTTGCTTGTAGTGAAAGCTAGCAACAGAATACTCATCCGGCGATTGATTTTGAAGTTTGACTTTGCAATAGACAGTCATTTGGACTTTCGTTCATCATGCATATTGTTGATTGAGTTCTGGGTCAATTCCATAGATAGTGTTTTCGTCAGAGGACTCGTCATCGAAACCAGTTATTTTATGTTGAAATGAAAATGTTCTGTCGTTTTCTACAGCCTTTAAATGAAACTTGGCTTTGCGATAAAAAATCGTGAAAACACTTGTATATGTTGGATAAACAAGGTTTGGTCTCTACTGTCGTCGACGGCACTCATTTAGTGATAAGATAAACAGTGCGAGGTTTTTTTATTGAGTGGGAAATTTACCTGAAACGAAACTTTCTCAACAATTTCATTTTGTAATTGAGTCAGTCGTTTTGAGAAAACAATACGAACAAATAACTGAAGTGATGAAATATATTTTGAAGGTCTGATTGAAAATATGAGATGAAACTAACCTTTTTTGTAGAGTCGTAGCAACTGCATCCGTAATGAACAACACTCTACTTGGAAAATGTTCTCTTGGTGATGAAATACGAATGATAAAATTTATCAAAATCCGAATGTTAATTCATATGTGATAACAGTCGGGTGATTCGTCAAGTACTACTGAGTACAGCAGATAACAGCTATCATACTTCATGTATTGGGGAATCCCCTATCATATTAGATGGATAGGAAGAGTGGTAAGGGCGATGACATCGCCCCTTACGCCATCTATCGGATCGACAGAGAACTCAATCCTCGGATATCAATGATAAACGAGGCTTCCTAAGGCGGTCAGTTGAAAACCAAGCTTTGACATCGACTGACGACAAGATACTTGCATTCCGTGTTGAGAATCTTGGTAGGGAGGTCTAAAGTGAGTGGGTCTATTCGACCCTCCACCGCAACCCACAAGGGTTTATTGTGACTCACAATTGGCCAAATAAACCCAGCTTCTTAACGAAGCTGATTAGTTTGTATGGTGAGTGGTCATTCAGGTCAAATGGTAAGAGTATAGCTCTATCGAACTCTGAAAACCTGACTTAGTCCCCAGCGGGCCAGATACAAAGTATGTGCTCTGCTGTTTCATCATTTCCCAGACAGAGGCGACACACACTATCTTTCGACAGTCCCAGTCTCTGCATATGATGATTCAAATGACAGTGTCCTGTAAGAAGGCCTGTTAGACATCGTAATTCATCCCTACTGTAGTCCAACACCTGTTTGGAATCAAGCTTCGAAGGGTGAATGCACGCCTTGGAGTGAGCCAATACTGGAAGATTCTGCCAGAAGTCCATTAATCTTCTTGCCATCCAGGTGTTGGGCAAAGCCCAAAGCGATGCCTATGACAGGTTCTGGTCCAATAAAGCCGCTTGCAGCACCCTCCTTTGCAAGAGATTCAGCAGCCTCGTTGCCTTCCAGGCCAGTATGGACAGAAATCCATACCAGAGACAATCTGCTAAGTCTTCCTATCGAGGAGAATCGTTTTTGACGTTGCTCGGTAGGAGCCAAGAGCTTCCAACGCCGCTTGACTGTCCGACAATATTTTTATTTACTTGTGAGTGAGGTTGGATTTATCAAATATCTCCGCACACAAATCAATAGCGTAAATTTCCGCTTGAAATACAGTCGCATAAGTTCCTAGGCAAGTAGGTAACTCTGTCCTGGGTCTGCAACTGAAAACACCTGCACCAGAACCGAAAGGTGTTTTTGATCCATCTGTGAACCAACAACTATCTGGTCTAGTCCTCTCTACTCGGGAATAGTACTTTATAAGGCAGTTCGTAGTTGACAGTTGGAGGTATAAAGTCAGAGGTCATTTTCAGAATGCTGTGACTTCCAATGTCAACCAACTGTCTGTTGCACTCTGCATTGAATTGATTTGTGCAATTAGTAATGTGCATAGGTCTGCATGCAGTCCATCTAGCCTCTCTTTCCAGAAAAATGTGGAGAGGAGGTAGATCTAGAAGGATCTTTATGGCCGCTGACGGTGTGGTACTGATGGCACCACTGATGGCCAGACAAGCCTGTCTCTGTGAGTCAGAGAGCTTCGCTTGGGCCATTTTCTGTAAAGCCTTCGGTCACCAAGCAATTGCACCATAAGTGATCATTGGTATGACAATCGAGAGTCTTGGTAACATGCAACTTGATTAATTAGTGCTACGAATAATAAATTTAATGTTTGTATTTCATTAATAAAACGTTATTGTCAGAATATGTATCATATGCAGGGTGTTTTCAAATTTGATCCTCACCATTGGGCTTTTCTGGCTTTATTTTTCGAAAGATTCGACAATAAATTGCACTTCCACATTGCCACATTTTCCCTGCTATGTAATGGTGTTTTCAGATTTGCTATCAGACGTTTCGTCTTCCGGCCACCATCATCATCTTTATTTTTTCTTATGGCGCTAGATTGGGTTCCTTCTGTTTTGAATAGAACCAGATTTTACCTTTTCAATTATGTATCATAAGTTATCATTCTTTTTCGAGAAACTAGAGATATTATAAAAATGAATTCTTATAATATAACGCCCAGTCGCCATCTTGAAAGTTTCATCTGTCAATTTCATTTCAAAATAAAGTTTTCATGCATTAATTTCATTATCCCAAATTTCAATTTTTGAGTTGACCCGTTCAAAAAATGAAAGAGGGGGCACTGAAGAAATGTACTGTATATTTGGGGTGTCTTTCAGCAATTGATGAATATAAAAGAATTCAGAGAAACTCAAAATAAGTGTTGAATACATGTTTATTGAAAATAATCTAGTAGGTGCTACAATGTTATTGGAAATCATACGTCAGTTTGCACACTAACTCAAAATGGAATTTGCTGATTATGAAACAGAGCCGAAGTTCGCTAACTTAAATAATTCATACAAGAATTTGAGTAACAAAAAAAAATACATCGGTAACCTGAGTTCCTACAATAGGGGCAAAAAAAGCTCTCTTGAGCTAAATCAGATATTTGAAATTCTCCTACATAAAATATCAAGCGAAATAATCTAACCTAACCTGACAAGTAGTTCATAAAAACACGTTTCAAAAGATATGAAAATAAACTGAATGAGACTGGCGAAGCTGCACGAATGGAATATTATGAAAATTAAATAGACGAACTGACACATATATCTAACAAACTTTGGCAAGCTTCGAAAACTATTGATAAACCAAGCACAAAAAATAGTTCTATCGGAAAAATGAATACCTAATTCGACTTGGTAAAGACGCAGAAACATTACTCAAAACAAAAAACTACGGAAGTACAATAATTGTATTGATAAATTTCTTTCACTTGGTTGCTCCATACTGTGGTGGCATAAGGTTCTTCTACTAAAAGTAAGTGATTTTTATGAGAGTTTTTAGAAAACAAAAACTGTTTATTCAACGTATAACCTGAGATTATTATCAGTTAGTAACCGATTTGGTTAGTGAATACCACACATGTCATCACCCTTATTTTGAAAGTAGGTTCGATACCTGCACTGTGACTCGAAGAGTGACTGGTAAAGTACAGTAATGTGCTGAAGATAAGACCTCGTTAATACATAGCTCATGCACGTTTTGACTTCTGAGGGTTACTATTCGTCAGTGAAACAACATCTTATCTGGTACATTAACTCAAATCTGAGTATGAATTTGAAAAAAAAAGTAAAAAAAGATTACTCGAATTCTTCAATAAACATGACGTGATAATGAAACAGCAATTTGGATTTATAAATAACAAAAGTACTGAAAATGCCATACTAGATTTTGTTGAACAAACAGTGGAAGCCTAGCGAAACAGTCGAAATGCCTAGCGGTTTTTATTGACCTTGCGGAAGCATTCGACACTGTCACATGATATACTACTGAGAAAACTTTGGATATGGAATACGGAGAAACGCTTTACATTTGATGCAAAGTGATTTATCACAGCGGACACAAACAAGAAAAATCGGTAATGAAATCAGTAAGTAGTTGAATATATCTGTTGGTGTGCCTCAGGAAACAGTTTTGGGACCAATTCTGTTCCCTGCTTAAATAAATAATATTACACAGATCAGAGATTTTCAGGGGCACATAGTTTGTAAGCTGATAACACAGCCTCAATATTAAAAGGTGAAACATGAATGTCAAAAAACCAAATTCATGACTTTCTCACTCAATTCGAGTACACAGCCAAACCATTTCGTATTGTATCTACACAAACCTAGTTGCGCAAACCGGTTATTCTGTAATTGTCCCGCTATTAAGAAAACAGCATTCATGAAATATTTGGGTGTAGTTTTATTGACCACCATTTGAGATGGGACATGCTCTCGAGAAAAAACTTGCTGTAGAGGAATCAATAATTCGATATTGTATCATAGTATTGGGTGGTACTTTCAACAATACGCTGTATCACTTACAATCGGTACAAAACTGGCTACTGAAAATAATATTGAAAAAAAATTGGCGCTTCTCAACGGAAGAACTTTAAAAGGAAACAGATTTATTGAATGTAAGATGTATGTACAGCTACCAGTGTTCAATATGGATGTTCTCAAACATTAACAGATGTAGAACTAATATACCCAGTCCCACAAGATTCTCAGAAAACTCAAATATCCTAATACTAGAGATTCGTCTTTCCCTTCGGTCCAAAACTATTCAACATGCTTCCAATGAACCTGGAGAAAATCAATACTATGAATAGATTCAAAACTGCCGCAAAACAATATATTATCGAAAATCCAGTAATAATTATTTTTTGAAGAAGAAATCAATATAGCTGCTAACACTGCTTCGAAAAATCATTGTTTTTTTCCCGACATCTCCCCTTTCTGTGTTTATCCCCTCTTTTTATGTATTTATCTATTTTCTACTAGTGTTTACTAATCACTAAATGTCAAATTAATATTTATTATACACTTTGAATTTTGTTCATGAATGAGTGAATAAGCACAATACAGGCATTTGTATGCCTAGGTCATTTTGTTATTAACTCATTCAGAATGAAGTATTTGATAAGAATTATTTATACCTATGTATAGTTGTAATTCAGAATTGAGTTGAATAAATAGAAAATTGAAATTGATTGTTATTCAATATTCGCCTAGAAAACCAGCATCGATTCATAGATTAGAAAAATATCTGTGTTATGAGCAAATTGTAATATGAGGCAGATATTTTGATTTTTTATATTGTGATGGACTGACAATTGTGATCCTCAGTTAGTCGAAATTATAATAATTGAAAATATTATAGATACTTTGCTCAGTTTATTGACACATCATTCAAATTGAAATAAATATAACATTTTAAAGCATATAAGGTTTTTGTTGGGTAACTCAAAATGGTTCCATAAAGTACTTAATAAAGAAAATAATGTAGTTAGAAACATTTCTCAAAAACATTATTAGCTTGACAAATAGATAGATATATGATAGTAATGAGTTGACATAAACATGTCTTCCATGGTTAAAAATTTGATGAAGATTCATTAAATTTCATATCAAATTATTTCAAAATAATAATATGCTTTCATTTGCATTCTAAGTGAATACTTTTAACTTGCATTTTCAATAATTTAATTGTTGCAGTTGATTGACGTTCAGTATATGAGACACTGCTGTGTAAAAGGTACTGAAGTGACTCTCAAGTTCTTCACTCTCGATGAAATCCAAATTTTCCGAATAGTCCAAAAACATCTCACACTTTTCTTCAACAAGATTCCGATCTGATTCATTGGAAATTCTGTCTAGGTCATATAGTATATGTTGACACTTTTCTTGCAGTTTATTTCTAGTTAATTGAAATTGTTCGAAAACGTCATCTACTGATTTGTGTTTCGCAGCTTCTGCCACAGAAACTTTCATTTTACGTTCACTTATTCGAAATTCTCCCAAGGTCACTACTATTTTGTTGAATTTGCCAGTAGAGTTTTCAGATGCTGTTACAGTCAATATTCCATCTTCATCTAAGAAGAAAGTAACTTCCATTTTAACATCACCTGAACGTTTCAGTGGCAATCCTTCTAAAATCAAATCTCCAAGAACATTATTGTATTTCGTGTTTTTTCTTTCCCCTTCATATATTGTAAAACTGCAAGTTTCTTGATTATTCTCACTTGTTATAAAACATTTGGCAAATTTGGCTGGTAATGATGTATTTCTCCTAATAATAGTGCTCATTAAATCCTTATGAACGCCAACTCCTAATGACAATGGAGTCACTTCTGTTAATTTATATTTTTCCGCACTCGCGAATTCATTTTTGAGCATTGCTGCTTGGAGACAAGCTCCAATCGCAACAGCTTCGTCCGGGTTCAAATCAGTTTTAAGTATTTTTTTTCTGAATAGATTATCCAACATATTTCTAATTTTTGGAATTCTTGTTGAACCTCCCACCAAAACTATTTCTTTCACTTCAGATTTTTTCCAACCTGCATCATCAAGTCCATATTCCACAATATCTATAGCGTTCTGAAAAATATCTTCAGTTAATTTTTCGAATTTTGATTTTGTAAGCGATAATTCGAAGTCATTGAAACCATCGTAGCACTCGATCACTGTTGAAAATTCATCCAAACTTGATAATTGTTTTTTCAAGTCTTCGCATGCTTGTTGCAGTCGCCGAGCGAATCTATCTTTGTCTACTGGTCTATAAAAATGATCGAACAGTCTCTCATCGATATTTCTCCCACCGCACAAGGTATCTCCATATACAGACTTGACTTCAAAAATTTTATTTTTCACCTCTACTAAAGACACATCAAGGGTTCCTCCTCCCCAATCAAAAACTAATAATTTTGTTGCCACGTTTTTATCTTGCACGTAATGAAGTGCTCCGGCAGAAGGTTCCGTGATGAATTTCAATAATTTGAGTCCAGCCAATTCAACCGCCTTCTTGGTAGCTTTTCTTTGCCCATTACTAAAATATGCCGGTATAGATACAACAACTTCTGTAACACCTCTTCCTAAGTAGTCACTGGCCATTCGTTTCAGATATTTCAATATCTCTGCACTAACCTCTTCTGGTGTTTTTGTAACTGTCTCATACTTTACATCCAACTGATAAACGGCTTTATCATCAACCCCTCGTACCAAAGAAAACTGAATGTTCTTTTGCCGGTGATATCTTGAAATGAATTCATCATCAAATTTTCTTCCGATAATTCGTTTTGAATCTGGAAAATATAAGAAATTCAATGATTTAATATGAATTATAGAGTTTGACTTATTATCTGATTTTATTTGGTCATTTAGTAAATGTAACACGTCACATTCATGATTGGACTCATGTCCTTCTGCCAGTGGCGTAGCGTAGTGGGGGCGGAGGGGGTGGCCCGCCCCGGACGACACTTTTTAGGGGCCGGCAAAATTTCACAGTAAATAATAAAATATATTTTGTAATTATTTGAAACATTTCATATTTTGACGCAACTATGAATTGGGACCAATTGAAAAGAGCACGGAATTTTTCATTACGTGTTCTGTGACGAATTCGGGGAATCCCCTTTCTTTGAATATTGTTTAATACGTCCGTTTAAGAAAGTACGTGATGCTTTGACAATTCAGACAGCACTAATCTAGACGACGCATCTGTTGAAATTGGATTTCAAGCTGGAACAACTTCGACTGCGAACTTTCGTTACTGCTACAGGCAACGAAAATAAATAAATTAATGCAGACTCACTTGAATTATTGAAGTTTATTGTAAACTATGAACTGGAAGACATTGTCCAATATTTTTATCATGCTGCGAATATTTTTTACAGTTGCCATAAGCAATGCCAGCTGTGAGAGAAGTTGTTCGAAATTGAAATTAATTGAAAATTATTTGAGGTCGACCATGAGTACTCTAAGACTAACAAATTTGGCTATCTTGTCTATTGAACAAGAGGTATGTGATGCTACAAACATTGATGGTGCAATAAAATACTTTGCTATTAAAGAAAGTACCTATGTAACTGTTATATCAATGATTGAAGTAAGGATTTTTGTATTATCAAACGTGATTCTAAAACAAATGAACTTTTTATTTAAAATCCAACCGGTATAATGCAAAATAATGACTGTGCTTGCAGAAAAGTTCTCTAGAATTAATATATATATAATGTATGGTATACAATAAATTGAAATACCTAATTAAGAGGGCGACAAAATTGTCTTCCGCCCCTGGCAGCCGATTCCCACGCTACGCCACTGCCTTCTGCCAATAGATGATTTGCTAATGTGGAATTGGTCTTTCCATTCTAGAAACTACTTTTATTCACTTCAATTCTTTGACCTCGATTGGCCAACATAAAGTTGGCCAAAGTTGATATACTCCCGATCTATCTGACACTGAAGTTTTGTCTTTATTGTTCCCAATAAATTTGCTTAAATCATCATTTGTTTTGTAAGCCACAAAGCAAATCTTTCTTTTCCAGATAAGAAGCTATATTGTTGTAACGCACACTATAGTTCCTTGAAGTTGGAGAGACCTGGTCCATGAATTGTTTTCGTTGTTTTTTTGAGGGAATAGAGTCGATAATATCTACCTCGCTACCGTTGTTGACAGTGATTTGTTTGATGAAACTCAGCCCTCTCTGAAAATTACTTTCCGACCGTGGAATATTTATCAGTCTGTGAAATATACTATTGAATGCAGCTACTTTATGCTGGTAGGTATGTGTGAAGGAGTTATGTATGGCAATGTCTGTATAAGATGGTTTGTGAAAACCATGTTGATTAATGATTTTCGAAATAGTCAAGATAATTTATTGAATTATTCACCTTCATTTCAGTAGTGAATTTTATTGACGGGTGAATGGAATTGACATATTCGACAAATTTGCCTAATTGCCTAGCCGTAGGTACCAGTAAAACAGACTGAGATATCAACTACTTATCTTCACCAGTACAAGAAACTTTTAATCATAGTTAACTGTTAATGGTGGCTTTCATTCTCCAGATTTTTCATCAGCCAGCAAAGGATTCAACGGGTTTTCCATTATTAGTCCTTCGCTGCACGAATGAAACTTTTCATTGAATCGGAAATAATTTTGAGATAGACAATTAGTGAGTAAATCTAAAATTTTGTATTTCATTAAAGGATATACATATGACAATAAAATCTAACAATAAAAGTGAAATGAGCATGGGATTATAGGAAGAGTTTTGAGCGCAAAAATATATTTTTTTTTCGTTCATTATTCATAAATCTCCCTTGATGTTCACAAATATAAGCAATATATTTAAGGTAGTTCAAGTCAAATGTACTTTAAAGTTTTCTGTGTCTTTGTGGCAGAAATCTAACTAAAATTCCCCAAAAAGTTTTGCAAAACATGCCACGGTGGACCAGCCTACCCAAGGTAAGGTGTAAGGAATCGTGCCGACAGCTGAATGGCCGCAGGGTGATATGAGGTTACGAACGATCCCCTTGGAACTGGGCGAAACCCCATTGTAATCAGCCTACCTGGTAATGCGCGGCCTTGCCAGAGGTAACCAACTCTTCCCTTGCTACTCGTTGGAACCCAATTCCGAAGGCTGGACCGAAGTGCTCACTTCAATCTAAGGCGGTGGCTGGGGATGAACAGAAACGTCCACCCCAATCTACCTATGGAATGAGGCTGGACATAGCAGATCACCTCGTGATGTAACACGAAGGCCAAAGCGTAAGCGCAATGGCGGCGCCGAGGCCAAAAGGAGAAAGAAAGCGAAGGAGGTAGAAGTGGCAGTAACTCCTCCTCCCCCACTCCACCTCCAACAGCTAGGTCATTTCCTGCGGCGTGCGCCAAGATCTCATCCGCCTTGAATAAAGGCAAGGAACCGACTGCCCATGCAGGAATGCGCCTTCACTTGTACACCTCCACTAGGGGAACCCCAGGAGGTTGAAGAAGCAGCTTAACGACAGTAAAGTCGCTGCACTTTCCAAAACCTTCGCGGAGGCCACCGTGAGATACCTCAAGGTTGCCAAAGAGTGTGTTCTGCGAGTCTTGGCCTACACCTGCCTGGATGGACGATGACCTAGTAGGACAACTCGGGAGGATGTACAATGGGTCACATGTGGTCTAAGTGCTGTAGGCTTACACTCACCCTCCCTACTCTACAGATACAGAAAACACTCTACAATATCTTTATCAGCCATTTTTGTATCACTCCTATATTTTGAATATAATTATTAGTTGTTGTCCCACTCCAAACAAGTCACTTTATGAACATTTCTGAGATTTTTACGGATGTAACCGGTACAAACGACATCACATTTCTAATCGAAAAATTGGTTTCATGTAATTTATTAAGAGAAAACAGTTTGGGTGGTTGTGGATTCAGTCAGTAGTGCAAGGATTGGCTTCTACTTCTTAACGTCGACAAATGCGTCGTACGTCATCAAGGAAAGAGTACAGCGTCGAGCCACACGTATGACTTTTGATGTAGACTGTATCCCGAAAGACTGAGGATGGCACAATTGCTAGCTTTAGACCAACGTCGACTCCGTGGGGACCTCATCATATCTTTCCGTATAGCTAAGTATAACTATGCTAATCAGAAANTGTAGACTGTATCCCGAAAGACTGAGGATGGCACAATTGCTAGCTTTAGACCAACGTCGACTCCGTGGGGACCTCATCATATCTTTCCGTATAGCTAAGTATAACTATGCTAATCAGAAAGAACTTTTTGTTTTCAATAATGATTCGCGGTTATGTGGTCACACACTCAAATTAAAAAAGGAAAAATTCGCAACGAGGCAGAAATAATATTTTTTGGGGAATCGTATTTTAGAAACATGGAATAACTTACCCAACGATGTTATGAATTCCGATTCAGTGAACAGTTTCAAAAACAAAATAGACAACATTATTTGAAGGTATTACACTCGGATTTCACTTATAAACTTCACCAGATAGAATTTGACATTTTTTATGACCAAGTTAGGTCTACAATTAGTCATTTCATATACCGAAAGTACCAAACTCCATTCAATACAAGCCGAACACGAAGATAACACAAAAAATAAACAAATATGAAGAAGATAAAGATCAAAATGGGATATACAGTATACAATGCTCGGACTGCAACAAATTCTATATCAAGAAAAAACTGATCCAAAGATACAAAGGAGCACAAAAAGGCATACATAAATCCAATAGTATATAAATCAAACCTCGCAACACACGCCATACAAAACAAACATAATTTCCCCCCACCAGAGAACATAAAACTCATAAATAAAACAAATCAATAAGGGAAACCGCATGGACATTTGGGAAAACTTGAACATCCATAAATTTAACAGTCATAAGTCACTTATCGAGAAACAAGTACAAATCAAAACAAAACAAGACCTCACGCTCAATATATTAAACAAAACCATACACATTCCTAGAGAAGATCTAACACAAAGAAGAGTACCTGATGCAGTACAAATACAGGCAAATTTACCTAAAGTACCTGAAATACCTGAGTTAAGAAGCTCTGACCGTATAGAGAGGCAGACGACAGGATGACAAGTTCAGTTTGAGGAGTGCCTAGAAGATGACAGTACTACCAATTGTCAAAAGAGCTCGCAGATAATTAATAGAAGATATAAAGCTTCAAATCCTTTTTGTGAAATTCAATATTGAAATTATATATACAGTAGAATGGAATAACGGGGTCTCTCAGTCAAAAAATCAAAAATCAAAAACTCTGCTTTACCTTGCCAAGCTTTCGCTTCTAGTGGGAAGCTTCTTCAGGGCAGTAAAAATGAGTAAAAAACAATTAATTGAACATATAAATCGACGAAAAAGTTAAACATTTATATGTAATAATAATAATGATCATTGCCCTGCTATTCATATCCAGCTCTACTGTTTGAAGGTTCCCTTAACCTTTTTCTGGTACAGAGTACAGAGTTTTACCTGCCTTGTCGTTTTAATCTAACGCAATAACCGTTAGACCTTCATCTGCTCTCGAGAAAATCACTTCATTATCGTTAGCTTTCTAATCAATTGATTTTGTAGACGTGAGTTGAAACGTACCTTTTAAACAGTTTCTTGGGCATTTAGGTGACAATTTATCAGCAGTTTTTCCCACGTGCACTGCTCCTGTTTGGGGATCGAAGAAAACAATGGAAGGAATAAGTCGATCACCATTTTGATCAGGTATCATTTCAGCTCTTCCCTTTCTGTAAGCGGCGATGCAGGAAAATGTGGTACCCAAATCGATCCCAATTGGAATATCGCTCATCTATAAAAAATATGAAGGGAGAGATTCAATTTAGGAAAACGAAGGAAATATTGGGTTGGTAAGTTTTTCAATGCGTTATTTTGGAAAAAAATCCCATACATACATGAGCATCAGATTTTGTTAAAATGAAATGACATTGTTCATAAAAGAGTTCAATGGTTCCAATAAACAGTGCTCCCAGTGCTTCTGGTGATGTCTAGATGATGTCCAGACGTTTCCAGGTATCACCAGAAGATGGCAAATGAAACTTCGCCGAAACATTGTGAAAATAATCCTGGTGACGATCAAAAACATAGAGCATGGACCGAAATCAGGAAAAAAAGGTCATAATACTTTGTCCGAGAAGTTGTGAATTACGACGATCGCCCGGACACTCCAGCACATCAACAATCGATGAAAATGTTGAGAAAGTAGAAAAGATTATGGAAAATCATCGAATCACTATCAGATAAGTTGCTGAGTATGTCAGCATATCGGTTAGCTCATGCCATGCAATTTTTTTGAAAATATTGGGCAGAGAAGTCGTTCGAAAATTGCTGAATTTAGATCAAAAAAACCGTTGCACAAGCATCGCTCAGGAATTGTTGAATGATGTCAACGGCGATCCAGATTTGCTTGAAAGGGTTGTAATTGGTGACGAATCATGGGCGTATCTGTATCTGTAAGTAGTGAGATTGAATGTTAGCCTACGGCACTTAGACCACATGTGACCCATTGTACATCCTCCCGAGGAGTTGTCCTCCTAGGTCATCGTCCATCCTGTCCTTTCCANCCGAACATACACTCTCTTTGGCAAACTTGAGATGTCTCACGGTGGCATCCGCGAAGGTTTTGGAAGGTGCAGCGATATTACTGTCGTTGCGCGGCTTCTTAAACCTTCTTGGGGTTTCCTCCGTGGAGGTGCACAAGTGAGAGAGCTTTCCTGCAGGGGCAGCCGGTTCCTTGCCTTTATTCAAGGCAAGGCCGTCGCAGGAAGTGACCTTCCTGTTGGAGGTGGAGTGAGGGAGGAGGAGGGTGCACTTATAGTTCCTGCCACTCCTGCCTTCGCTCACTCCTTGGCCTTTGTGTTACATCACTAAGTGATCTGCTATGTCCAGCCTCATTCCAAGCGGTATATTGGAGTGGACATTTCTGTTCATCCCCAACCACCGCCTTAGATTGAGGTGAGCACTTCTGTTCGGCCTCGGGATTGGCTTTTGTTTTTGTTGTTTCTGTTTGTTGTGTTCCCACGAGTAGCAGGGGAAGAGTTGGTCACCTCTGGTAGAGCCCCGCATTACCAGAGGTAGGTTGATTACAATGAGGTTTCGCCCAATTCCCCAAGGGGATCGCATATCACCCTGTGTCCATTCAGCTGTCGGCACGATTACTTATACCTTAGCTTGGGACCGCCACCTGGGGACGCGTCCGATAAGTAGCCAAACCCACGGGGAATCATGGGTGTATGATGACATCGAAATCAAATGAATCAGAAATGTTTTTGTATGAAAGTGTATAATTAGAAAATTATTGCAAAGCACTTTCGAATTTCGTCATCAACAGTGCTCACCTGAAAATGAGTGATCTAATTGAAAAGAAAGTTTTGTGAAAAACGAAAACATACAAAAACCTTATCGATTCATCTATTTATCATCTATTTATCGAAATCAAAACTCACTGCTTTCTTCAATTACCGTGGCGTAGTGCATCAAAAGTTCTTGCCACATGGTCGTATGGTCAATAAGAAGTATTATCTTGAAGTTATGCGCCATTTGCGAGGAGCAAAACGTTCGGTATTGTGGAAAATAATTCATTGCTTTTCCATCACGATAATGCACCTGTTCACTCGTCATAACATCAGTCTGAATAATTCGACTTGACAAAGACGCAAAAACAATTAAAACACAAAAGTATACAAAAATGAGTCAAATGGTTTAAAATACTGCTAGATTTTTACAGATTACAGATATCTCCTTCATTTGAAATCGAAGAGCAAGCAAATTGATTGCGGAGAAAAAAAAAATTATGGGTAAAATGATGAAGCAACTTTAACTTTTTGCAAACTTCTAGACAAGGCCATAAACTCGGTTAATGAGTGGTTCAAGCAGTTGAACGAAGTTGCGTCTTTGTTTAGAGTCTTGACTGAGGCTGCAAAGTTTCAAGAAGGAAATTTATTCCAAATCTTTGCTTGATGATTGCAAGATATTGAAAACGACTTCGTCAAACAAATATTTAAAGGACTTCGAGTTACAAGAAGAATCCCAAACAAATTCAAACCTCAACAGCAACGTTTTCAACATCATTTGTGAAAACAATTTCATTGAAGAGCCATCCAATTTATCCATTGTATTTAGAATTTTTCTAACGCGTCCTGTCTCTATTATCAGTGGGAAAAGAAGTTTCTCAAAGTTGAGAGTAATGAAAACTTATATTCGGTCAAAATAATACAAGGGTGACTTGTGACTTGCTGGACTAACTACTTTATATGTTGAACAAAATCTGGACCAACGGGTTGTTCTTGATAGGATTTCAAAATCTAAATGCAAAAATAGTAAATTTAAGTTCAAAGTGAAGTAATACGGAAGCACAGTGAAAGACGGAGGAAGACGTTTTGAGTTTATACCCGAAATTTCGACCTTAAATTCGAAATTACTACTTTGACCCCAAAATTTCGACTTCAATCTCGAAATCAACACTTTGATTTCGAAATTTCCACTTGAACTTGATATTTCTAGTTTGATGTCGAAGTTGTTTGATAACCTAAATGGACCATATCTAGATCAGGCATGACCATAATCGAAAAATATATAATGAATACAAGACGAACAATAACGAAGGAACGAACACGGAAACATGATAGGGACGGAAAAACTGAAAGTAGCTTCAATAAAGCGATGGTGAATTATCATTTTTCAGAAAAGGCGTCTTGCCTTCTTTAAGATTTGGTTGTAGTTGATTTCACTTGGATCTCACCATAAAAATTTTCATTTATGAGCTGGTCGTGACGTCATTTTCACATATATTCCACCTGCGGATCACATAATGTCTTGCCCAATTCGTCACAGCATCAGAAGACAAATCAACTCCAAAAATTTTTACGTGGAAATATGCAACACGTAAAACATCGTGACGAGTATCTGACGGTAAGTGTATGAGTGAGGTAAATGTCAGAACGTGAATCTCTCCATCTTTTGTTAGTTTGTTGGTGTTGATGTTCTCTCTTCAATGACCAGACCACTGTAAGATACTCGCTGGACCAAAAAGTACACCAATATTTATTGGTGTATTCTGTGCTGGACCATCGCTGTTGAAAGTGCTGTCACTGTTGCTTAATACTGTTTTTTATGGGACAGTCGTTTGGATGCAACTTATTGAGGTAGAGAAGTAAATGGCTCGCCAATGGGAAATGCGAAGGTGTTAGGTAAGTGGGATAGATCATTGGGATCATTTGACAAAAATTATACGCCAGTTCTTTATATTCAACTAGTACTTTGTTGCTGTATCGCTGCTGTTCCAATGTTTTGCCAGAATCAGAATCAACGAACTTAGGCGTGCGCAGCGTTATAGAACAGTGCTTTCAAAAAATTGTTCTACAGCGCCATCTAGTGGCGAGTTACAGAAAAATGGATAGCCTAAAAACCTTCTCTATAAAAAATTACTTATAGATGTCAAGTTTCATCACGATCGGTTGAGCCATGTAGAAGTTTATCACTTACCAACCAACAAACATCCATTTTAATATATTAGATTAGAAGATCTATAAATTTCAGATTTATCTTTCATCTTCACTAATATTTCCTTGATTTAGAAAAATCATTTTCACGTAGTGAAAAAAGGTTGTTGAGGTTTGAGTCGCGGGGAAGGATTATCTCCCATTTGATATTACCTATTGATTTATTTCAATGTGTTTAATTGCGTCATTATTGCAAGGTCGATCTCTTCAATATTCGTTCTATCACCATGGAACTATATTCAATCTTTGTCGAATTATCTCTTTGAAATTAATCTGACCGCCTTCGTGTTTTTCGTCATTTTCATTTCTCCCCCATGAATTCCCCACTATCATGGAACAAGCTTGCTATCATTTTTCGTATTTTTTCAACATACCTTTTCATTTCATATCCATATCACAAGTTCTTTCAAGCAATCTTTTTCACTCGATATACATATTTCGTCATATTCAGTATGGAATCACTCAGCAATACATTTTCATTTTAACTGAACGTGCTCAATTAGTTGCTTCAAACTTACAGATTTAAGCAAAACCAGCATACATACATTTCTTGTAGAAAACAAAAATAAATGAATTAATATAAGTTATTAAAGTCCGTGACAATTCATACATGTCCCCATAAAATAATATATAAACCTAAATAGCACCACTGGAGACGTCAGACAATGCGTCACACCTTCGTGTACATGTGACGTGAAAAACCGGTGTGTCCTTTCGATGTGAATACTCTTTGGAAGTAGATTGGCACTGATGTGGGTAAGTGCTATAACGGAACATAGTTAGAGCTGAAACTGAACCTATAAAAAATTCCAACCACAGAACTAATGGAATTGTTCTATGTCACAGATGACAGATACCAAAAAATACAAAAAAGTAAAAAGAGAAAGAGATCAGTTAGGTTTGGTGAGTAGTGTGGTAAAGTCGAGTGTGGAAATATTGTGTTTGACGAAATAACAATCCCAGTGCCTTTCCCGGTGATAAATTTTTACGATGGCTGATGAAGTTTCAGAAAATGGACACGCCGAAAACGGAGATGTACCCGAAATCGAATTAATCATAAGGGTGAGCAAGAGTAGTTTTGTCTTTTTACTGGGTGTGACAATTGCAACCCGCCTACATTAACGTTCATTTATTACAAAAGAAAGTATATTGTTTCTCCAAATGTTTTTAGATTAGATAACGTTTACGTTATGAAATTCTAGTGAATTAATTCAAAAGTGGAAACAGGTCTTTACATAAGTGCATTTTTGTGTTACTTATGACCTTGGATCACATATGTAACTGGAGAGTAAATAATAGAAAAAATTAATTCAATTTCTACACTCGGTTTAAGGTTAGGTTTTTTCAATTCGCCTCTCAAACAATCAGGATTTGAGAAATGTTAACATACAACTGAAAGTTTTACTACACCAAAATTTCAATGAAGGTTTGCTGTATTATGAGCATAAATGTGATAATTTCCTTGAGATACATAATATATGTAACTAGTGTCTTGGTTTCATACATTCACTATTGAATGTCCATAAACCCTATCAGAGGACTATATGAATGTCTTTCATGTCGAAAAATGTTTAGGTGTATGTTTCTTAAACATATAACTTTTCTCACAAATCGAAATAGACATTTTTAATCTCTCTCTATCATAGATGTTCATATAGGTACTACTAAGTATGATATTCAATCAATATGATTGCCATGGCTTTTAAGTCTCAGGTAGATAATTTTTGTGTTATTTAGCTTGAAAATTAATAATGATGATATTGAACTTATTCTCAATTCTATAATAATCATGAGGATTTTTACCAGAAGGATGATGAAGTCATCGGAAACAATTAATAAAAGGAGTTTGAGGGTTTGGGACTATCTTTCGAACTGTTTCCAAATGTTGAAACTTTTATTTTATGTACATCTTTCATTCCCACAATAAAATATGTCCCTGAGTGACTTCTTAATATTGTGATAGTAAGTAATAAGTTTATTCTGCTAAAAATGTAAAAATCAATGCATCTTATCTGTTACTACAATACTAATTAGGTTCTTGAGAAAGAAAGGTGTTGGCTTTCTGTTTCTTCATCTTCATTCAAAAAAATGTAGGAATCTTCTTGGCAAAAAATTAATCCCTCCTAAAGGTATACCCCTTTCAATTTAAACTAGTTGAAAAATTTGAAAAAGGTCAAATTATTTATCTACATGCAATAGGGAAAGTTGTTTCATATTTCATCGTTTTATCAGTCAAAGAATAATCAAACTCAAAAGGGAATTCCATATAATTAATACACTTTAGGGTTGCCAAGCTGTTGATCTTAGTTTACAAATCTTGAAAGGTTTTTATTTCAATATTTTTTAAAATGAATTCTCCAACTCAACTTTTTTGTTTATTCATTTCTTATTTATTAATTTTTCTTCATCCATTGATGAATACATTTTTGCAGAATCAACTATTTACTATTTCACTAGACTTCTGGAAACGTTGTTGATGCTGGCAACACTGTTAAAATAAACAATGCTGTGGTAACACGAATTCTCCCAAGATGAACAATAATGAGCTGTTGAGTCATTTCTAACTCTTAGCCAATAATTTAAAATGCAGAGACAAAGTTGATGTCCCTGACATACAAAGAGATATGGCAAACACTCCGGCAAAGGATGAATGAATATCCTTATACTCATATTGGGGCTCACATTATCAACCTTATTTTTAAAATGACATTAGTGCTTGTATTTATTTTTTCATGACTGAAGGGGTGGTACAATAAACATATTAATATAAAGGTTAATACCTGTCATTCTTCAACTATGAACTACAACCTATTTGTTTTTAATCTGTGGTTTTCTTTTTATTTTCAAGGTAAGTACTCACCAACATTCAAATATTTCACTTGTGATGAAATTAAGCTCAACCTTTGTATTAGAATTTGAAAGAGTTATATTAGGTAAATGTTAGATGATAGACAGTTGTGAATAATGTTCAATGAAAAATAATGCAGTTGTGATCTCATTTCTCAATATATATTAGTTTATTTGTTTCAAATGTTTTATCTGTTTTATGAGTTTACTTTAAGGAGTAATATCTCAGTGTATACTTATTCAATTCATCAGTGTAATTTTGCCAATGTAACACAAATCGACGAAGGCCGTTTTTGCCTGGTCCTAATTGGCGAAGGTTCTGCGGGTGAGAAAGTTATCGAAGTGCTTGAAAAGATGGTGGTCGGTCGGCAAGAGGTCTGGAGAGTATGGTGGGCAAGGCAGAACTTCGATTCTCAATTCGTTTGATTTCCGAACGGTGATTTGTGAAACGTGCGGTTGGGCGTTGGTGTAGAGCAGTATAGGACCTCTTCTTTGCCGGCTGCTTCTTCACAATAGATAGGACTTTGCTGTGATGGCTATGATAGCTGACATTTTTAGTGGAGCGAAATTCTAGATGAAACCTCAATCCCAAATTTTTTATCTCGGCCATGGAGGGAAGTATAGAGCTTAATAATGAAGAAGTATCTAATATTACTGAAGAAGTCTGGCTGTAAAGGATTAAAAGAGTAATTTTAGTTGAAAAAGACTATATTCACACCATATTAATGGTGTAAATGAATTCATTATTGATGTAAATGACGACAGTGATACTGAGAATATGGAAGAGGAATTATCATAAGCTTTCGAAGAAAGTTGGTGAAGTGTTTTTGAAGCAATCGATTGTATACAGGGTGAAACATAAGTACGTTAAAATATTCAAGTGACGTATTCCTGAGACAATTTTAAGAAAAAAAGTCTATATGAACTTGTGTCCGAAAAAGCTTTGTTTCGGAGATACGGGGTGTTGAAATTGAATTTTTTATTCGGTTTTTGATAATAACTCTTGCAAAAAATAAATTATTTGCACGAAATTCGGTACCCGGGGTTTTTTTAACGTGGGAAATCATAATTTCGTATTAATTTTCATGTAGAGGGCGCTGCGCACACTGTCATTATTTATTTCAAATTGCCTTAACTTTTTTGACAGTAAACTTTTGGTACTTTTCATGAAAAAATCTTTTTCCCACACCTTTTCCAAGTAAAAAAGGTACACCTCCTCAACAACGCTGGAAGTGATCGTTTTCGAGATATTTACAATTTGCTATATCGATGCATATTACTTTATAGTCCAATTTGATTTCAATAATTTTTGTCACTTTCCGCTTGCAAATTAAGTTAATCAAATCGAGTATGCTATGAAGGTTTGTTTATAAAAATGGAAGTTCGCTGTCACATTTTTAACTATTAATTGACAAACTCACAGTTCGGAGTTTATAAAGTTATTTTTTGATACCATGCCCGACTTTACGAATGCTAAAATGGCTGATATGGTTTTTGCATACGGCTTGGCTGACGGAAATTCAAGCGAGGCCAGACGCATCTATCAGGAAAGGTATCCCCAACGCGTGACTCCTTGTGCAGCGACATTTGCGAATCTTTTCCGGCAACTTTTCGAATCTGAAAGCTTTGAAACCAATTCTGCAGTAGGACGGTCACGGACTACAAGAACTGTAGAATTGGAGGAGGCGGTTCTCGAAGAAATTAGTGAACATCCAGAGGCAAGTACAAGAAAAATTAGTCAAACTTTAAATGTGAGTCACATGATAGTTTACAGAATTTTAAAGGAACAGCAATTATATCCTTATCATATTCAGCGTGTCCAGGCACTTACGCTTCGTGATTTCCAACCACGTATCGAATTTGCTCAATGGCTTCAAAGAAAAGTCGAACAACACGCGCAAATTTTATCGAAAATCCTCTTCATAGATGAGGCAAATTTTTCAAGAAATGGTATCGTGAACTTCCATAACAACCACATCTGGGCGGAAGATAACCCACATGCGACAACGCAAACCCATTTCCAAGACAGATTCTCTTTTAATGTATGGGTAGGCATAATTGGGGATTATTTAATTGGGCCCTATTTTCTCCCCTTACGTTTGAATGGAGAATGGAGATGCTAACCTACATTTTTTGGAACACGAGCTTCCTCAACTTATGGAAGATATTCCTATTGGTCTCCGAAATCACTCTTGGTTTATACACGATGGAGCTCCTGCTCATTTTATTGTAATAGCAAGAAATGTTTTAGACGTAGCATATCCTCAAAGATGGATAGGAAGAGGAGGCACTGAGCATTGGCCCCCGAGGTCAGCGGACCTCAATTCTATCGATTTTTTTTGGGGACACCTAAAATCACTAGTTTATGCTAGCCCCCATTGAAAACAAGGATATGTTGAGGGATCGCATCATAGCGTGCTGCGAAACGATAAGAAACACTGCGGACATTTTTCAACGGGTGTGAAATTCTTTGATGAGAACAGCAGAAGCTTGTATCACTGTTGGGGGGTCGTCACTTTGAACAGTCGTTGTAATAGTTGTTTCGTTTGATTTTTATATTTTCCTTATAAATAACATAGTACTTCTCCGAATTGTTTTTTTATAAACTCCGAAATGTAGCACTTTCTAATTGAATAATTAAACCTGACAATTTTTTTTAATTTGGTTTAAATAAGCAGTTCAATAATGCTCAATTTAGAGGAAGTCTGTACGGGTATACTGCGTATAAATTTTGATGAAAATAACTGAAATTGCAAAAAACTTATGACAAAGACCTAATATGTTTTGAAAAATTTCAACAATCTGTATTTCGAAAACGAATCATATTTCGTTGAACATTTTATAGGAAAAAGTTGTTTATTTTGACGATATCCACCACATACTTAGTTTTCGTAATGTTCTGCAACTTCACTTAGCGCCCTTCACTTAGCGCCCTTCACTTACTTAGGAGCTAAGTAATCGATATAGAAAGCATCGATATAGAAAATTGTAAATATCTCGAAAACGATCACCTCCAGCGTTGTTGAGGAGGTGTGCCTTTTTTACTTGAAAAAGGTGTGGGAATTAGGTTTTTTCATGAAAAGTACTAAAAGTTTACTGTCAAAAAAGTTAAGGCAATTTGAAATAAATAATGACAGTGTGCGCAGCGCCCTCTAGATGCTACATGAAAATTAATACGAAATTATGATTTCCCACGTTAAAAAAACCCCGGGTACCGAATTTCGTGCAAATAATTTATTTTTTGCAAGAGTTATTTTCAAAAACCGAACAAAAAAATTCAATTTCAACACCCCGTATCTCCGAAACAAAGCTTTTTCGGACACAAGTTCATATAGACTTTTTTTCTTAAAATTGTCTCAGGAATACGTCACTTGAATATTTTAACGTACTTATGTTACACCCTGTATAGGCCGTCGAAAAAATATATTTAAAATTTACCAAAAATAGGCCATTGTTTTTCAATAACACCTTATTTTCAAATGAGTCTTACTTACATTTATCATTCTTTGGCCCTTTGGCAAAGCACTGATAAGTGAGTGGCTGTCAATTTTTTTTTATTTTTGACTTCAATTATAACGAATATTGCGGTGCGAAAAATTTAATTTTCATTTGGTTTTTTGGCAACGATTGCGTGATCAAGACTTCGTCATACTCGATTTCAAATAACTTTATGAATCCCAGTATTACCGTATAAAAACAACTGATGCCAGATTCGCTAACTTTCACCCATCATTTATTTTTGTTTAGATTCCATGCTCGATTAAAGTCATGAACCGTTATTCGTAGTAGATACGTGGTGCAACCAAATTGCTTGAACTACTTTCGATGGTGAGAATGTTTCAGGTAGTTGTATTATACAGGGTGTTGTGAGNCTCGATTATATTTTTTTCTTTTCACTTTTAGCCCTTACGTACAACCACCCACATCATGCAAACGATCAGGTTAACATACCAACATTATTAAAAATACGTAGGACATTGATGCTATCAATATATGACGCGCTCGAGTATGTCCATGAAACAGTATTTTTTTACATATTTAAAAATCTATAGCCGCTTCCCCCACCGATGAAAATTGATATATAACATTTTTTTCTTCTTATCATCTGAGCTTTGCAACCTAATGTGTCTCAATGACGCTCGAGTAAATCCCTATTTTGCATCGTAGGCTCCCCTGCTTTGAGCACTTCAATAATTTTCTCATCGGTAGAACCTTCGCCAATCACGACCAGGCCTTCGTCGACGTCATCGAATCTCCAGCAATCCGTTGCCACGAGAAAAATGTAACTTGAGAAATGGCAAACATCGCAATCAATTAGTTGTTGCGTCTTCAATGCGTAACATACTTAGCTGTTTTATACGGTTTTCGTTGTTTTTTTTTTTTGGAGGAAACAAAGCATACTAAAACAAATCAAGAGTACATAAACAATTTATATTCAGGTGAATATGGCTTTCATAAATCGAGTGATACTGAGTCTGCAGTAATTGATGTTATTTCTAATATTCAACAAGAATTAGATAGAGATATGAAATGTGGTCTATTATCTCTCGAAAGGCATTTGACACAGTTAATCATAACAATATTATGATTGAAAATTGAAAAATTGAAAATATTGAAAAGCAATGGTATTCGAGGGATTATTCATAGATAGTTTGAAAATTATTTATCTAACAGAAACCAATTTGTGTGCCTAGAAAAAAATGACAGTTCATTGAAAACTATCACCTGTGGTGTTCCACACGGGTCTATTTTGGGTCCAGTTTTATTTTTGATTTACATAAATTCT